CTCTTAGCTGTTTTCCAAAGTCATCAACCTTGCTATCCAGACTTTTAATGGCTGCTAACACGGCAGCTAAGGAGACCTCAGTCTCAGTGGCTTGTTTTTTAGCAGGTGGCAGCTTAGTAGGCGTTGTGTTCAGTTGCCGTCTTGTACCGGAGGAATTTCTAGACGTTTCCATCGGAGTTTCAGCGTTAGCAGCGGCAGCATAGCTATGCATGTTTAGCTTAGCAGTGTTAGCAGACTTCAGACTAGGGAAATCTTTCTCATTAACGGCCGACATCTTTTATAGACTCTTATTTTCTTCACTTACATAGATCGTGGATGTTCAGGGTTCATCTGGGGGATGAAATTATGTGTAAAGGGCCAGTTTAAGTAACTTGTTGAGGGCTGCGCGGATGGAGCTCAGAATAGTGCGTGTGCCCACATCGCCATCTTGCCGGCGCCACAGCGCCAACTTGTGACGTCACCAGGTCACTTCCTCACACAGACATGACTCAAACTGCCCAGAGTGTTCATGACTGCGCATGCGTATTACTGCACAAAGTCACCAACGCATCGGCCGTCTGATCGCCATACGTTTAAAAAAAACACCAAAAAGTAAGTCATTAAATAGTTTTTTGTACATGACAAAAGGGATAAACGCCTCTTGAGGTAGTTTATATTGTGTTTTTCGTACAAAACTAAAGGGATACTCGCACGTTGAGGTAGTTTAAAGTGTATTTAGAGAAGGGCCATCTCCAAAACGCGTCCCGTACCAAACACACCAGTGGCGGCCGGCCCATAGGGGGGGCTCGGGCGCTGCCCCCCCTAGATGTGGAGGGGGAAAGTTATAAAATATATATATATATTTATTTTTAAAGTATTATCAATGTCAGTTTTACTTAATAATATGTGGCTACATGTAATACGAATTATTAAAACAGCACTTCCACCAATTGACTCTCATTCAACAGTGCATTTCCACCAACAGAACGTATCGTTTCTCTTCTGGGGCGCTAGCCCCAAGCGCCACAGAAGTGCAGTGAAATAACCAATTGAAAAATGTTGCTAGGGAAAATTAATAAATATTTGGCCAATCAGCATCACCAAAATTAATGGCTTTGGGGCGCCTGTAGTAACAAACTACAGAAACCCCAAGCTGTCCTGTTTCCAGGTAT